CACCACCACCACCACCACCAACAAGAACAAGAACAACAACAACAACAACTACTACAACAACAAAAAAGCAACAACAAACAATAACAAACAAACACACACCCTCCCCCCAAAAAAAAAGTATTATTCGCCAGTTCATTTACCTATATGTCTAAGACTAGAAAAGCCCTCCTAAATTATTTTTTTAAAAATATTAATCAAACTCAAAGCCAGTCAGTTTATTTACCTATAATACAAGAAAAACCCTCACGAATAAAACAAAACAACAACAACAACAACAACAACAACAACAACAACAACAACAGCAACAACAACAACAACACAACAACCAACAACCCAAAACGAAGAGGGGCTGGATGGTGATGGGGCGTGTGTCAAAATCTATTTCTGAACAGAAAGTTACGGTATTGAGAAACATCACCTTGGAGTGCATGCCGAGAAAAGAAACCAAGTAAAAGAACTGGCTTTTTGGTCTCCAGTAATTCCGCTAGTGCCTTTTCTACAAGACACTGTGCAGGGAGGACGAAGGAGAGGCAGACCGAAGAAGAGATGGGAGGATAACATCCGAGAATGGACAGCCATGGAGCTGCGGGACACACTGAGGAAAGCAGAGAGCCAAGAGAAGTGGAGGAGATTTGCTGTTATCTGTCAGAGGCGACCCAACGGATGACAAATCTACAAATCTACGGGAGAAGAAGAAGAATTCCACTAACATTGATAGACATTGTATACGATCGAGTTCTCTCACCTGGTTCAGAAGTACATGTACCTGGTTCAAAGGTCTCAATCATTAATATGTCGGTGATCTTTACACCCCCATCGACGCTATTTAGATCAGTCAGGAGGCGGACTTCAACACTGCCTGTCAGGGCCAACCCAAGCTGAGAGAGATGCAAGATCTCAGAAGAAAGACCGACGTACTCGATAAAAAGTATCCTTACTCGGGAATCGAACAAGGGTCTCCAGGCGACAGCAAAACGCCGAACCGCTACACTACATATTGCTGGTGGTTTAACCCTTTCCCTAGCAACCTATTTATACCCCTTTAACCGGCAACCTTGGTTTACCACCCCCGTACAAATATTATATTTTATATGAAGATATTGACTCATCTTATTTCTGGCGACTGGATGTACTACACACAACTCAATGTCCTGTCACCAACAGATGCCTTTCTCTTTACAAAAAGAAAACAGTCTATACTGTGGATGATTCTACAAAGTGGGCTGACGGAAAAATCCAGCTGAAAAGATGTTGGTGCAACTGAGATGAAGGCTTTCATTGGCTGGCAATTACGCATCTGTGGCATGGGTCATCAAAGTCCTTCTTTGCAGTTGTTGTTTTTTTCACCCACGAAGAGGGAAATCTTGGTTATGGAAGACTTTCCATTGAAACGATTCAGCAGCCCACTGAACGGAGTGCACTTTGATGATTAGACAACAAAATTATCTATTCGTCGAGCAAGGGAAGTTTTCGTCCCTGGTTGTGAGCTCCGGAAGACCTTTCTGAAAATTCTGGCCAATGTTTTGCTCCAGTATAAGACATCCCAGTGGACGAACAACTTGTTTCATTCCTAGGCCGCTGCAAATTCTGCTGCACATCCTCAGAAAACTCCAAAAATTATGGGATCAAAACCTTCTGGACTTGCGATTCTGCCTGAGAGGCCTTCTGTAGCAGACGGCTAACCGACCGGCCTAAACAACAGTTGCTCTTTGTTCTTATATTGTGACTTCTCTTTCCAGTACTCGGGATTTTCATGGCACTGGTCACAATGTCAAAAGGGACACATTTTTCATTGATCTGAAGTCAAGAAAGATATTTGCATTTTCAGGACAATGAAGAGGAATAAGAGATTCCTGCCCAAAGAGTTCTGAGAGAACAAAGCTCATCCTGTTGAAGCCTCAACGTTAGTTTTCAGGCAAGAAGCAGTTTCTTTTCGCTCACCAAAGCAAAACAAACAAGAACATGATTCTGCCAGAGGTTTCCGGTGCTAAGAGTAAGCTTGACATCGTCCTTGCCAATAATAACAAAACAGGGTGTCGATGCCATGGACTGGCAAATGAACCATGAGATGGCCCATTGTCATGCTCTTCAACTTTTTAGATTTGCCAGTGTGATTACAAGTTAGTTTCCTTCTAACCCACGGTCTCCTGGGGACAATTGACAAGAATTCAACCAGAGAGGGTTTACAGTAGTATTACAGTAAACTCTAAGATTCAACACCAGCATAGACCCCCGCTTGCTGTGGTCCAAATCCATGGACGTTCAGCCATCCTGTCTCTCCTGGAGCGAATCTTGCAATATATTTCTGCGGTGCTCAACTCACTGGCGCCAATGTGTACACCGGCGACTGGTGCATTATTACAGAGG